AAACAGTTCGATCTTCCATGCATGCAGATCCAAAGTCTATAATTTTGATTTCTGCTGGCTTCACACTGTTAATTTCATGACACAAACAACGTTGGGAAGAACGAGATCTAAACTATAATTGTCTCTCTAACCTCAGTCTGAGGATTAGCTTACCTCGTGCATAACAGAATGTTTTCTGGTTTCAGATCACAATGAAATTATAGCATCTTTCATTAGAGCCAATCCATGCAATATCTAAATCACAAATAGAAAATGGAGAATAAAACATTGGAACAAACATTCATCCCAGGGAAGTGCAATATCAGAACAATTTGTATCTGAAGCCATGTGCCATACCTGTTTCGCAAACAACTGAACAATGCTCAATGACAATCCCCTAAAATGATTCAACTTTATAAGTTCATACCTGAATGACACCATGCAGCAGAATAGTTCAATATTACAACTCAATCCAATTAAAAAACTTCATCAAGTAACATAGTGACCAATACATTGTTTCACAACTTACAGATTAGTGTCAAGCAGTTCAAAAGCAATGCACAAATGACGTTGATAGACAAAGTAGTCATAAATGCGAACAATATGATGCTTATCCTCAGGATCGAACTTCTTATTTAACTGGGAAAAAAAAAGCAAGCAATGGAAGAGGAACAAATGAAAGTCCTTCTTGGCATCATTGTAAATGAGAAAACCCAGAAGATAAAGTTTTTACCGTCGTCAGAATAGAAACTTCAACCAGCGCCTGTTGATAGTACGCAGGTTGATTTTTAATGATCTTCACAGCAACAAAACTGTTTGTTTCTGCGACCCAGCATTTAGCAACCTGCCCAAATGTCCCATGCCCAAGAATATCTTTGACACTGTATCTACAAATGATCAAGAGTAGCAACAATTTTTCAAAGAAATTAGGAAGGCTGCATCACAAAGTCCTAATACTGTAGAACAGCTAATTGAACTGCTATGTCACATTTCACCATCAAGAAGACACGTAAGACTGCTTAAAGTCTACCCTGAGGATCCATGGGTTTTCTTATTTATTGATGACATAAATATTGGATGACAAAAGTAAATTATGGAACTGAAGTAGGATGTACTAAGTAAGCAAAGAAATCCATCTGGCATATTATATGATTGATGTACACGATCATTTGAAAGAAAAGTTCTAAAAATAGCTACTAGGCCAACAATGATTTATTGTTCGAATTGTTTGCATGATTAAGACACAACATGCTCAAACATGAGAGTGGCGGAAATGAAGATGTTAATATGCATGAGTGATCGACGCAGCGGTAAACGAAGAGACACAAGGAAATCACAGTTTCCTTGTGCAAAGAACACGAACACTCTAAATCCACAGAGAAAACAAGATAACTACTCTCAAAATATATTGATTCTCAAACTTGAATATCTCAAATGGTTACACAAGGACCCTTTTTATAGGCCTCAAGGGAAGCATCTACAGCATTTGTCAGCAATTGTTTTATACTTCTGATTGATATTTTCCAGCCTTGCACGGATTACCAGAAATTCTTTTTTGTTTATAGGAAACGAAAAGTTTTAGTAATAAAATTAATTTACATAAAAAATGGTTGGATAAGAAAGCCAACCAATTAAAGAAAATCATAATCAAAATAAATAAAAACATAACACAACTTATGTATCCCATGAAGCTTGCCATCCCGTCAAAATTGCAAAGAGTGGGATTCCTTTGAATTTTTTAGTAACCAATGCCCAGAATGATGCCAAAAAATAAATATGATCTCATAAACCTTCCTCACTCAACTTGATCTTCAAAGATTCTTGCATTTCTTACCTTCCAAATAACCCACAAAATAACAATAATGGCACAATTCTAAAGTGTCTTTCCTTTATCACACCTCCCAAGACCAATGAAAACTTCAACAAACAAAAATGTAGCTGAAATGGGAACCACTCAATTCAATCTCACCAAGCTAAATAACTTATACCACAACGACAACGCCATAGGGTAATGCAAAAATAAATAATCAATCTTTCATAATCCCCTTTACACAAAATACACCATTGCGGACAAAGAGAAGAGTGAGGCCTCATTTTTTGATGCATATCCACAATATTAATCTTACCATGTGCAATAGTCCATCCAAATACTTGTACTTTTCTCCACAGTTTAGCCTTCCAAATCATCATAGCATGTATAAAAAAAGGACACAGATCATCTATAAGAGAATCATAAAAGAATTTACAAGAAAAAACACCAGAAGATTCAAGAACTCATCTTCTTCTATCACATTACTCTTTACACAACAAAAGATCATTTAGAATATTCAAGAAAGATAAAACATCACTCACATCCCTATCATCAAGATTTCTACGAAAATCAAAATCCCAAGAATACGATTCATTATAAGAACCAATCATAAAAGCAATAGTCGAACTGTGGTACGAAGCTAAATGATATAGCCGTGGAACCAAACTGGATAGGGATGACTCCTCTACCCAAAGATCTTCCCAAAAACGAACTCTCACCCCCATTACCCATTACCAACCTAAACTCCTCGGAAAACCTCGTCTCTCCCTAAGATATGAATTTCTATGAACTTCGAAAACTTCTCATTTCAACCCCATTAGTGTCTCATCCATTGGTTGTAATCTATATTTGCTCTTAATAACTAAATGCCAGAGAGCACTTTGTTCCAAAGAAAATTGTCAAAGCCACTTACACACTATAGCAATATTTTTTGCTTTCAAATTACCAATTAAAAGGCCACATTTCTCCCTAGGTCTAGAAACCACCTCCCACTCCTTTATCATTGTTTTCCCCACAAAAAGTGTCCCTCATCATTTTTCAATAGGTGGGAATTCTGACTGCACTAAGCTTAACCCCTTCCCCTAGATATAAAAGCTCTCTTTTACCCATCTAATCTTTTTCTCACCCTCTCCACCATAAAATACCATAAAGATAATGCTAATGGATTCCCACCCAAGGGTAAACCTAAGTACTTAAAAGGCCAAACCCCTATTTTACACCCCAAAACACCAGCAACTCTACTTTAAAATTTTTTTCTCACCACCCCCACAAAAAAATATTGTATCATAAGCAAACTGCAAATGTGATAATGTTATCCTATCCCTTCCCACTTCAAATCCTTCAACAAGATGACATCTCTCCACTCTCTTCATTAGTCTAATCAATCCATCAGCAACTAAACTAAAAAGAAATTGTGATAATAGGTCACCCACTCTCAAATCCTTAGTTACTTTAAACTTACCCCTAGGCTTCCCATTAATCATAATTGACAAGTTCTTAGAATGCAAACATCTCAAAATCCACTTTCCCCATTTTCCACCGAATCCTTTCACCTTACGGACACAAAAAAAAAATTCTTAAATCTACGTGATCACAAGTCTTCAAAAAATTGATTTTAAAAACAAAATCCTCATTTCCTCTACCTCTATAATCTTCCACAACCTCATTAGCCACCAAAACAACATCACGAATTTGGCACAAAATCCCCTTGACATTCTGAAATAGTCTTAATAAGAACCTCCCTTAATCTCATAAATAAAAAATTTGCAACACTCTCATACTGGCTAGACACCAAACTTATTGGTCGAAAATCCCTCAATTGCAAAGACTTATTCTTCATTGGGAGTAAACAAATAAAAGTTGAGTTAGTTATTGCGTTCCCCACTCCATTTTGAAAGAATTAATTGAAAACTCTCATTAAATTCTCTTTTGACAACATTCCAACAATCTTTGATAAATAGCTAAAATAAAACCATACGGACCTGAAGCCTTATTTTTACTATACTCCAAAATAGCCTTATTCCCCTCTTCTACCTCAAAAGACCTTTCCAACCATCTAGATTTACTCTCCTCAATAGGACTCCCCTCCAAGCCCCCAAGTATGGGTTTAATACCAACCCCCCCTAACAAGAGTATCATTAAGTAAAACACTCCACAATTTCATTTTCAATCATCCTTCATTCTCAATAATCACATCATTCGCCATTTCCAACTTATCACTAAACTTCTTATTTCCACCATTTGCAAAATTCTTTATCTTCTTTTGCTTCCATTCTTAAAGAGTCCACAAAATATATTATGTAAGATTGGGTAGTAGCACTAATTTTGAATTGTTTCCCAGTTGTCAAATCAATGTTGGTTGTTGCATGATAAATCTTTGTTGCCTTCTCAGTATTCAGATATACTTTGATAACCTCATAATGCTCACCCATTGACTCCCTTAACCAGAAATAACACCAACTCCTTGTTCATTCCCTTTCTATCTATAAACATTTCTTCCATAATTTTACGTGATATCTCATCACAACCTTGGCCTTTTTCCTCAATCTTACCAAGTTCACATGTAACAGGTTCAACTTCAATAATTTTAGGTGTTGCATCATTAACTATGAAACTGTCATTGCTTGTGTCTTCACTTTTTTTCCATAAGGTTACCATCAACAAGCTCCACAATATCACCATAAGTCCACTCGGTATCATCATTATCTTCAATCTTCTCTTCTTGATAATTTATAAATTTTTTTTTGTTTGGGTTTCCATAATTATTGAATAAAGGAATACTTGCCTGGACCATCTTGTTACTCTATTTTTAGTCTTATTGTTGCTAAAACAAAATATGTTCATGATCTAGAAGGAAAAAAGTGTTTCATCCTCGACCAAGAACAAATTGGAACTTTTTGTTGCCTTGCACGTAAAGGTTACACTTGTTCTCACCATGAAAAAGCTCTAACCCTCAATTTATAAGCCGCTAACTCTACCTTCATTCCCTCGTTTGAAACCCTCATGTAATCAAAAGACTTCTCAACCAACCAATCAATAAAATCTTGTATATGAAGGTAACCATCAAAATAAGGTATGTCAACTTTCATACAAAAAATTCTACACTCATAATCATATCTTTTATAATATCTAGCACAATCATAACTATCAAACATTACTCTCGCATTACTCATCATCATCAATAAAATCACCATTATAAATATAATGTCATCTAAGGGGTGCAAGATTGAGATCTCGAATAGGTTGAACACTAGCCTCATCATTGTTGTGAACTTTATTCCAATCTAAATCTTGGTTTGTTCCAAACGATGATCGTGCAATTGGGTTGTGGAACTCACGATAGGTTTGCTAGATCCCATACCAAGAACTAAATAATTCGACTCTCAGAAGAGCCCTTTCCAGATGATCATCATCACGGAAAAAATTGTCATCACTTCATTGATTAGAAATCATGTCAAATTAATCAAGGCACTGGCTCTGATATCAATTGAAGCAACGGTAATGAAAGGACACAATGAAATCACTGTTTCCTAATGCAAAGAACAAAAACACTCAGAATCCACATAAAAAACAAGGGAAGAACTCTCAAAATATATTGATTCTCAAACTTGTATACCTCAAATGGTTACATAAGGATCCTTTTTATAGGGTTCAAGGAAAGTTTTTGCCGTTTTCTAACTACCTAATTAAATGCATCTTCTGATTACTTACATTAATATTTCTACCATCTCTCAACTACTTAATTTAATGCACTTTTCAAATACCTCAACCATCTCCCAACTACCTTATTTAATCCGTCACTAGAACTTCTACTCAATAGCTACTAAATATTGGGCTAAGTAAGGCACATTAACTCGAGATCTTATTACAACATTAAACCATAATCAAATATAAATAAATACTAATTTTTGTTATACATCAGCGATAAAATAGAAAAAGGTACAATTAGAAATGAGTACATTTGTGAAATGGTAAAAATAGCACCAACTGAAGATTTATCGAGACAGGGGATGCAGACATATTCATTGAAAATTTATCACTGCACATTATGTGATACCTACCAATATTGTGAGGCGTAAATGTATAGACAAAAAATTATTTGGAATGAGAAGGCAAAAAATACTAGGATAACTTGAGGTATAACAGAAAATATGGTTCTTAATAGAGCATAATGGCAAAATGGAATAGATGTAGCCAACCCCAAATAGTTAACGTTAGAATAGATTATGGTTTTCGATATCACTATAATAAGTATACCTTAAATGGATATAGTAGTCCTTTCAAATACATTGCATAGATATATATGTGGGAGGTGTGGGAGGGAGCCCTCGTAAAAGACTCTCACACCATTTCTCACATTCTCTCTCTATCTCTTTGATTCTACCTCTAATTTCCTCATCTTCCATGGTATCAGAGTTGAGTCTTGGATCAAGTTTGTCCCTCAGTTGAATTCTCTTGCATGTAATAGAGAGCATGAAGAAACCTATCCCACATTGAAAACTTAAAGTCCATCCAAAGTTGGTTAATATACTTCGGGGTACAGTCCCCTCATTGCCAATTGATTTTTGGTTGCATGCTCTGACTAAAAAAGACTAAGATGAGTTGAATTGAATTGTATGTATTACTATCAATTACCAAAATATTGAACACTGAATATGCATGTATCAATTTAATCATCATAAGAATGTATATATTTAATCATCATAAGAATGTAGCTCATTAATGCAGCTTGAGAATCTAAGATACACCCAAATATCCAAGTTATATAAGCTGAGAAACTATCTATATGTTAGAACAAATCTTTTTACATAACCTCCGGCATGTCTAAATTTTGTTTGGTAACGTCCAAGAACCACAATGGTACCCAAAGAAATTTTTAACAGAAGGTTTACATCAGTCAGAAGAATTTACATGCGGCAGCAATGTAATGGAGCTTAAGTTAGTGCTAGCTCTACTTTTGTGAACAGGAGAGGTTTATCAATTAGACTTAGGGTGCAAGGAAAGTCATCCCAGTGCATCTGCCAGTCAATTCCATATTGATACCTCCAGATGGTCTTTCTAGGTCTAGACTCTCTCTCAAGGAAGGCAGTAGCTTTAGCACTGACAGAGGGAAGACTATTAAGCAACCTTAAACCTGGACACAGCTTTTCGTCCGCTTTTAATAAAGTATAATACCTTTTAGATCCAATAAGAGTAGAATACAAAGAAAACACACTCAATATTCAAGAGAACTAACAGAACTCATATTTTCCCACTAAAAAAAAAAGGAAGTACAAGAACTGTATCTGGAAAGATCGGGATAACAAATGACTGCCTTCCTTGCATTTAGCCAGATACTGTTTCACTTAACTGATGCATCCTTGCAGGAAATTATATCAAGGTCAAGTCATGACAACTGTTCCAATGCTTGTTATAGACTTGATTCAAAAGATAAAATATGTAATTAGCTGGACATGTTGCTTCTCCACCTTGGAAATATTTAAAACAATGAACACAAAAGAAATGAAGCACCCATAGCTTGGGTGGTACTTATTGCCACCGCCAAAGAGGAAAGGCAATATCCAATCCCTGGTTGGAACATGGATGCATGTAATCGAACTAATCAAAAATAAATAAACAAACGAACGAACAAAGAAAATCTCGGTTGATATAACTCAAAGACAAAAAGATGTAAATAAAATGTACTAGGTTGACATCACATCCCTATTTCTCTAAAATATTCTTTGTAATGCAATATAATATAGCAAAAGGATGAAACATTTCAAAGCCAAACCTTCGCTGTGTGTCTAAATTAACCAACACATAATTCACAGCAAGGATGAGGTCCGAGTTTGCATTATCATAGCCATCATTGAGCACTCCAATGGATGGGCTTGTCAAGAACCTCTTTGGGTTCAATTCTTCTGAATAGTGGAATCCCGGGTTGCATATTTTGTACGTTTCAGAGATGTCTTTGGTTAATCTTGTCACCAACTGCAAAGTTGAAAGCCATATGTCAAACAGGGTTCCACTACTATAGTTTTTTTGGGTAAGTACCACTATAACAATTTAAGAGTATTACAACTTCTTATAATAGGCCCAAAAAGATAAAATGCCAAAATAAGAAGCTGTGTTCCAATATCAAGGAAGCTATTCCTATTTAATTTCTGCCTAGAAGATCCAAAAGCAGGGGACGAAGGCAGATACTATCTTATGGGCACCTTAGGGTATAGTATACCTTCTGATCAAGAGGATCATAATCTGAATCCCATCAAATACCATTGATCCAACAAAGAACTCTTCATCTGACAATCAGATAAGAGCTATATTCCACAGAACAGATAGCTAACATGTTCGGTTGTCCTCAGAAGATTTCTTATAAAGAACCTAATTTATTTAGTCTCTATAAGAACCTTATAATTGAGGTTTTTCCCACCTTCAGATGCTCCTATGCAAAACTCCAAGACACATAATCTATCTGGTTCAGTATATGGCAACTAAAATTAAAAAATCAAATTGACTCGATCATTTAACACAATTAGAGAAAGACCAGATGATTATTCGAATGGATATCACACATAAACTGTGTATGTATCACATTAGGATTGACTAGATTCAGACAACTGTCATTGAGCAATTTAACAGCATACCCAGATCTCATCCATATGCAATCTCTCCACTGTTGGTGATCATGACATCAAAAAAGGATGGTTAGCTGAGCGAGAATTTCAAAAAGTAGGGAAGCTGACAATAGCATAAGAAGGCTCAGTACATATCATAAATTAGCACTTGGACAAGTATACGCTATGGTTAAAAACAGTTTAAAAACCCGGCCCGGCCCGGCAGGTCAACCCGGTGAACCGGTGCTCAAACCGGGCCGGTTCTCATAAAAAACCGTGTGTACATTAAACTCGGGATCAAACCGCTGAACCGGCCAAAAAACCAGTGAACCCGTGTGAACCGGACAAGTTAACCAATCTGGACGGTTTAAATTGATTTGTATAAATCTGAGTTTTTTTACATTTTTTGGGCATTTTGCTCTTTCCCCTAAATCAACTTCCAGACGTCATTCTCATTGCCCTAAATCGAGCCATCCAGATTCCAGACCACCGGACACCATCGACTGTGCAGTGAACACAGCTCCACGACTGAGCTGCCAACAGCGACTCCAGCCTCCAGTCCAATGACGAGGTGAGTTTTCTCTCTCTCTCTCTCTCCCTGGTAAGCAGGATTTTTGGAATTCACAAATTGAGTTATTCATGAGTTTGCGATTTGGATGTTTCACTATTTTAATTGAACTTGCCCGTCAAAATTATTGCCTCAACATTTGCATAGACACCCAAAATAAGTAGGATTTTGCTAACCAGCTCCTGTTTATTGTCTTCCATAATCATAGTGCTTTTTACATGTCTCCGTGAAGCATATTCCTTGACAAAGCCATGAAATAATAGTGCGAATTGCATGTTAAGGGTGGACTAGGTTTGGGTTTTTGTTGCAACTGTTAGGTTTGGATTTTACTTTTATGAACATTGTTATTTTATATTTGGGATTTTGTACTGGGTTTTTTTTTTTTATCAAGGATTTTGTACTGGTAACTTATGAAGTGTGGTATTGTACTTTTCATTTGTGTGTTTTAGCCTATTTATTATTATTTATAATTATTTTTTAATTTTTTATTATATTACCGGTCCGACCAGTGACCCAACGGTTGATCCAGTGACCCATTGACCCGATCCCTTTGCCGAGTTGACATTTGGGCCAGGTTTTAAAACCATGGTTAAAAAGCTTGGGCATATTCAATTGTTCACACTCACGCCTCACATGCAAGCATAAGGTCATGATCCTTGTCATTTGTGAAATTCATCTAGGTCATACATGTTATCATCATATCATGCAAACAAACTTCCAAACACACAACAAATAAATTTGAAGTCTTTATTTTTACCTTATTGATGCTGAACATAGCTTTAGATCAGCAATTCAATGCTGTTCTGCAATCCAATCTGATGGTAAGGTATATCATTTAAATTTAATGCTGGGGTTTAATGGTAGATTTGGGGTAGTTCTAGTTGAAATTTAAGGCTGATTTTGATAACAAAACTAAACGAACCAAGTTGCAGAAACTTCTTGGAAAATCAAGACTTGGGGGGCTTAAATGGTGTGATATTTTATGGTCAAGGCTTTGGGATCAAAGTTTAGGGGTAAGGTTTTGGACCAATGGTAGGGTAGTAGGAGTTTAAGAATAATATTGGTGTAATTTAAGGCTAGTGATGTCTGAGTTTGTCACAGCCGAAAGTAAAATTATTATGGAAAAAAGAAGAAGAATAAAGAGATTGAAAACATTAAAGGTGTCATTAAGGCATACCAGGAATCTCACCTAGAAGCAACTCTTTAATGGAATCTCATCATTAAAGATTTTGGAAATTATAATCAATTAACATGCTGAATAGAATTGCCTTACACAGATCATCTTACACGGAGAAGCTTTCCAGATCGAAAATTCCTACAAGACAAAGTGCTTACTAAACTAAGACTTCACTATCCCAAACAAGAAACGGACTCAGTAATACTCACAACCAAACAATCGTGGCCCAGACAATTAGTTGGAAAAATTAAAAAGAATAAAATGCCCTTCGTGTTAAAAAATCTTGAAACTCCATGCTATTCACTCAAGAATTGACACCTAGGAATCAGGAATTTCCAATGGGAATGGATTTGAGGATATGCTTTAGAGAAGAGCTCATGTCGGAGAGTGGTGGCAGGAAAGTTTAGAAGTGAGAAGAATATATAGACTATCTTAGAGAGAATATGAGCTCTACTCCAAATATCTTAATTTTGCAGCTAAGGATGCTGCATTGCAGTTTAGGCAAGATGCCTAATGCGGGAATGTCCTGTGCATGCTAAACTGAAATTCACCTCGATACACTAACATAGTAAAATGTTGCCAGAGGCAATAAACTGGTAATGCCCTTATCAGTGTTTCAGGTTTGGTGTCAGATCCTCAATGTTTTTTGCATTCCCCCGACCATCTTTTAATAATTGCCTATTATCTATCAAAAGGGGGCCCAAAGATTTCTGAAAAACCTGCATGACAGCTGGTCACTAGCCAAGTTAGCAGCTTATATTAAAAGCTTAAGATTGTTTCATGAGATACCTATCAAGATCGAAGGATTTATCCTCCTACAGTGCTTTTCTATTGCCTTTTTCTTTGGCTGGGCCAAGAGGGGGGTGTGGAGGAGGCAATTTATTTAAGTATGGAATTTCGAATAATTCAAGTATGAAATTTCAACTTCAAGGTGCTCACTAACGCTATGACTTGTAATTGCCTTTTTCTTTCAACACATGTTTGTGGTGGCCATGACTCCCGATAGTGTTGGACAGGATTATTAGTGCTTTCCGATCCCAACTCCAAAGTAGTGACTATCCTTTTAGATTGGCATTTGACTCATTGGAAGCATCATCAGATGAAATCCAGAAAATATGGCTATTTGACTCTTGACATCAGCATCAGATAAAATCCTCATAATTGAGTTCCTAAACTCTAGTGAGTGGATTGCACCAGAACGGCACAATCCATGAAAGGATTATTAACATGTAGATTGTCATCATGTCTCCTTTAGTGGAAAAAATGAAGACTCGAAAACGAAGGCTACCAGCCAGACAAGCCACTACGCACGTTTTATTTCTAATTGAGCCGCTGTCCAGGCTTTGCATCTTTTTCCAGCTGTCTAAGATTTCTTTGTATACTCCATCTATAAACCTTTGAGGACAATGTAGAATTCCAATGAAAACTACTCATTGGAGATGACTGAAGAAAGAGATTATCAATTCTCTGATCAAATTCAACAAAGAGATGCCATGGGCAGTAACAACTAAGTAAGATGATTTGTCTACTTTCAGCTAGGACTTTCCCTTCTTTCGGATATTTTCTGGTAACAGAGCCTAAACGATAATGCCAAATCGCATCATCCAAATTTTAGAGTCACAGAGAACACCAACACACAGAAAACAAGCCAAATCCCCGCCCATCTTGAAGAAAATGATCTAGTTCAAAAGGCCATGACAACAATATGAATATCATAATCCAAAATTGACAAAGAACAACATAGTGGGCAAAAAACACTTACAGGCCTTCTAACGACATCGTGCAAAGTTCGGGGCCTTGCATCAGAATCGAGAATAGAGGAATAAGGACAGAAGATGAGCTCGTTAGGACGCCATGGTACCGATTGCGATGATGATGATGGTGATGGTGATAAGCTCCCATCCGCTGCCAAGTCTGAGGGCTGAGGCTCACCTTCCCTACTTGTGCTGGCCTCATCCATTACCTCTCCCTCAACTACCCAGCTTTATCTATATAAATATATAACAAAGCTTCAAGCCACCGGTTCAGCGATTCGATTGCCACCCTGTGGGATACACTAATCTTCCGGCAAATTCAATAAATATACCAGAAGATTGTAATCCCATCCTCATTCACCAAATCCCGCAACAGTCACAATAAAGCAATTTTTAATATCAGATCCATCAGAATCAAAATCTTCTCTTCATAATACGTTCGGATTCACTTTTCCTCAACAGAACTAGCAGCAAATAATAAAGGAGTTGATGAGGATGAACCATAAAGGAAGAAGAACTCGAAGAGAAGAAAAGAGGCAGGTCAATATCAGAAAGGGCAATCGATCCAAATCAAACTTATTACAAACGATATAGGAGAAGACGATGAGGAGAAGGAGGATAAATGGAGATTGACGATGTACGGAATTGAATTTGTATTCTGACTTCTATGAGAGAGAGAGGGAGAGAGAGAGAGAGAGAGAGAGACTTCCCGGAGCCACCGTCGTTTCCTCCAAATGGTATTCTTCAGTTTTGTTTTCCTCCGTAGGCGCAGAGCAGCTTTTGTAAATTAGCATTTACGAAAAATTCAGTGCATTTCACTTGGCAAAAGCTTTCAATACTCCGGCTAGGTTTAGAAGAAAAAAAAAACTGATTTGATTTAATTCTAGGGTAAAATGAAAAAAAAAAAAAAAAAACTCTGTATTTAGAGTCATTTCTAGGTCACCTTCTCGTATTTAGAGTCATTTCTACATCGTAATTTTAATTGTTATACTAAATTGTCCTTAACTTCAAAATAAAAGTTCAAAAGTGGACAAATATTACTAATTTAATGAAGAGTGTGAGTTACACGCTCAAAATTGTACATGAAAATAAAATATGTCAAAATTATAATTTATAATTTCTTAAATACCCTGATCTTCCCCATCTTTCTTATTATTTCCCTCGAATACATGTCTCACTTTCTCTCCCTCGTGCCCTAGGCTCCCTAACCTAACCATCTATCTCTCCTCTCCCTCTCCCTCTCCCTTTCCCTCTCACAACCTCTATAAACCCTCTCCCTTTCCCACTGAAATCCACCACTTGCACTACCGCTACCACAACCCACTCCAACAATACCTCGCTCATGCCAACCTACCACCGCGTCATCTCTCTTTGCCTTTGTAAACCCTTTTTCATCCTCACTAATACCCTTATAAGACTTCCACCCCGTCGAAACTCCCCCAACCCGCAACCATTCTTGTCGGAACTCCCTTACTATTCAAATCCACCCTAATGGTGTTTTATCTAGTCACAATAGTGAAGTTCCCATACAATTTCAAGATTTTCAAAAATTCTTTGCGTATTGGTGACCCATTTTCTCTATGTGATCGAATTATATTTTTTGTTGATCTTTTTATAATTCGATGGACTTGTGGAGGGAGATTAATGGTGGTGTTGGTGAGTTTTTGAAGAATGGGTTAAGTTTGTGTGAAGTTAATTTAGGGTGTGAGTATATGAGGATGATTCAAATTTTTGTGGGGTTGTGAAGATGGATGATTTTGGGGGGCTTAGAGAGGGATGACAAGGTGTTAATGTGTGATAGTGATGTTGGTTATGGGTAGACGAGAGGGGAAAATATATATATAGCAAGAAGGGTTTGAGGTAGAAAAAGGATATTCAAATAAAAATTAAGTGACTAAATGAGAGTATTTTGATATTTTTATAAATTTTATAACACACATCCGCTTTGGTACTTTATTTTGAAGTTAAAGGGTGTTTAATACAATAATTAAAACTACAAAGATGCCACCCTAAGTATAGGGAGATTTTTTGTATTTTACCCTTAATTCTACTGGAGTTATGAAATTGTGGTGACAGATTTTAACAAAGCTCGTATTAAACTATTAATTTACAAAAAAATCAATTATTTTGCTTGACAATAGTCGACAATAGTTTTCAATACTCAATTAAGTTAAAAGAAATAAAATTTTTAGAAATATCCGAGTTTGGATTTTGAGGTCACGAATAGGGTCAAATTATTAAATTTGTTTTCTCCCTCTATTTTCTCTTATTATTTTGCTTCTCGAGTCTTAGTCTTTAATCTATTTCTTTTTTCCTTCTCAAGTCTCACCCTTAAAAACAAGTAATGTTTTTTTCTGTCTTGCAAACATACGTATAAAGATCGCAACAAAGAAAGTATCTCAAATATTACTTCAAATCCAAAGCTGGTAGCCAGGGAAACCTGGTTACTAGCATGTGAATCTTCTAATGCATTTAAAAAGTTACAAATTGAATCTACCAGCAAAATTTCAAGATTAACTGGTTCAGTGTTTCCTCCTGCATGTTGAAATAAATTAAACACTGATGGTTGCTCAAAGAGGAACCCTAGTCTTGCTAGCGTTGGAAATATTATCAGGAACATACAAGGAGGCTGAATTACGGGATTTTATGGAAGAATGAATGATACAACAAACATCCAAGCTGAGCTATTTCTTTTTCCTTCTCAAGTCTCACCCTAAAAAACAAGTAATGTTCTTTTTTGTCTCACAAGCATACATATAAAGATCACAATAGAGAAAGTATCTTGAATATTACGTCAATTACAATGCTGGTAGCCAGGAAACTTGGTTACTAACACGTGAATCTTCTAATTCATTTCAAGAGTTAAAAATTGAATCTACCATCAAAATTTCAAGATTAATTGGTTAGGTGTTTCCAATAGCAAGTTGAAATAAATTAAGCGGTTGCTCAAAAAGGGGAACCTTGGTCGTTCTGGCATTGGAGGTATTATTAGGAATACACAAGGAGGCTGGATTATGGGATTTTATGGGGGAATGCATGATACAACAGGCATCCAATAAAGCTCCTCCAGAGAAAATGAATCTCTCATGTTATTGTGGAAACTGATTCTCTTGAAGCAACAAAACTCTTTACGCTAAATGTATAGGAGATGCACCCCAATAAAGCTATTATTTCTTGTTGCAAAGACTGATCAATTTACTTAACATTTCCATCATACATACCCTCAGAGAAGGCAACTAGTGTGCGGACTTACTGGCTAATCTTAAAGTCCTTCAACAAAGGCCTTTTTGTTGAGCTTGATGCTCCACCCCCAAACTTGGGAGTTGTTTCATGGCTGATTTGGCCAATGTCTCCTTCTCTAGGAATTTTATCTAGTTGTTTTGTTACTTTTTCAATGTACCAAAAAAAATATTCGTATTTTTGCAACCATCTTTGTCTTTGTGTTTCCATGAATATGGTGATTTTTTTTCTCTCTCTCTTTACTCATTAGTATCTGTTTATCTCTATCTCATCCCACAATTCTCTTTCTTTATCTCTATCTATACCTCTTCTCTGTTTGGGTGGGTTTCTGGAATGAGAGTAAGCTTTTTTGGGACTTCTTGTGGTTTAGATCTTGTAGCTTTGGGCTAACATTTGTATGGTTTTACATTTTGACGATCTTTGTGATTGTGAAGGAGAATGAGCCAATGGAGGTTGTGACTGAAATTGATCTATGCCGAACCAGTAGAGATAGTATACAAGTTTTGTAGTCGTCAAATACGATCATCGCTCATGATTGGTTCATAACTAAGGCTTCTACATTGACTATTAGATGCTCCATCCAAATTTACCAAATAAAAAGGCAGACTTCATTTACCCCTTTATGGTTTACCCAAGTTGCAAATAACCTCTCTGAAGTTTGAAAGTAGCATATAACAGGGAAGGTGAGGGACGCATGATCGATGACATCTTGGGGAAGCCCATCAAAGCTGGATTTTGGGCAAAGGGGATGAGAGGCAGAAATGATTTCATGCCATCTTATGGTTGTTGAACTAAAGTGCAATCGTCAAAATTTTCATCCAATTTAATGATTTGAATAAATCATGCGCCTACAATGCAATTTTTTCAAAATAAAGCAAGTTATAAGTTGAAAAATACCCTCAAATTTACGTCCCTTCCTCTATCTTCTCTATCACTTTCCCTTTGTTTTCTTATTTCTCACCATCTCTTTGCCCCACCCACCCTAACCTCCCCCCTCTCTCCCTCTTTATAGCATTTCATCCAGCTAATAGTCATAACTACCACCTCCCTGTCATGATCCACAACCTCCCATCAGTTCTGCCTACCAATTAACAACCACACCAAACTCATCCTTCCACCAATTAACCACCACAACTCCATTTTCTTGGCTAGATTTTCCTTTTAGACATCACACAAAACTCTGGTGAATAGAGTATGAACGCAAGCTATGATTCAATGGTGAACCGTATGAAACCACCTTCAATGGTGATGTCGATTCCAATTCAAATTTCTAACTCAAATGTAATTTTGGTTCCATTCCATGTTAGCTCAATTGTAACTGTTGGTTTGATCTCTTTTTGGTTCACTTCGTTTGATTTCGATTTTACTCTAATTTTCATTTGTCGTTTTTGTTAAGTTCTGATCTCTGGTTTAGTTTGGAATCTTTGGATTTTGATTTGCAATACTAGGTAGGTTCTAATTTTTGTTTGTAATTTTTTAACACTAGTTTTTTGGTCGTTGTATGAGGTGGTAATTGTGATTGCGGTTTTGGGGCCATAAGGGCTGAAGGCGAGGTGCTTGGTATAGTGTATTAGCTGGTGGTATGGCGGGTGCGTTTGTCATGGATACTGATGATGCAGCGAGAGTGCCAAGTTGGGCATGACTAACTGTGAAAGTTTATATTAATGGTGGGGTTATCGAAATAAATTTTCAATTGGTTACATTTTATAGTTATGTATGACAAAAAAAATATTGTACCTTTGATAGATGGCGATGTAAAAGATGCCAAATTTTTTAGGGAAACAAACAAAGTGCACATTCTCCTTACAAAACAAACAAACTGTCAGGGTTTTGAGAATGAGTAGACAAATTATTGGGAAGAAGTACATATCTTATACTTAAGTTCATCTTACATTTTAAGGTCTGCACCTTAATTCTAGAGTTTTGCTCAGTTTTTATTGATTGCTTGGTCGCTATGCTGGCCGAGTAGTTTGCTAGCTGGTTGGCTATGGCCAAAACCTGCTTAGTAATGTTGGACCAAAATAGTGTTTTAAGTGTAAAAATTAAATTTTTTGTCGATTTTGAGCCTAAATTAAAGTGGGATTCATTCATTATTTCGAGTAAACTTTCTTGGGTTCATATTCTATTCCATGAGAAGAATAACGTAGTATATTCACTTGCTCAAATCGAGTAAGAAATAAATTAAAAAATAGGCTTCAAAGTGACCATCTTGATATGTGAAAATAAAGGTTATGCAATGCGGCATTTGACACTAATCTTACATTGGTTGAAGAAGAAATTCTACATGGGCATATATAAGTCAAGTTTGCTCTTTCAGATTGAGCCCCAAGGGATACCACAATTTTATGAGCGGAACGAGTACCTACTGTGAAGACCCTGCCCCATTACCGGGACCCTGTCTTCCAAGGG